ATGTGGGGTTACCCTATTTTTGACCCACAGCCATATTACAAATACGATAAGACAAGGGGCGCCTGCGTGGAAAGCAAACCCGCCGAGGGTTTCGCTTCACGACGTCCGGCAAGGAGTCCAAGGCGTCCAAGCCGTAGGTGGCCATGATCGGCGGCCATGCCTTGGCCTGTGTCAAACTCCCCTGCAAAAGGAAGGACATCCCCCCTACTTGAATGAGGGGGGTAGGGAGGTCCGGAACCCACTTCCATTGTCCTTGTTGCTTTGTTTAAAGGCAACATGGAAGTAAAAATGGAATTCCAGGGGTCACCCATGGTCTCCCCCCTTTTCAAGGGGTGGAAGGAACAAAACTGGGGTTGTGTAAACAGCGGTCGTTGAACCATGGTCAATCAAGGTGTCGACCGACTTGCTATGACAGGTCCTGTGGTCCAGGTGAAACAGGCTCACTGTTTTGCCGCAGGATGCTGTATGAAACTCCCCAACCCACCAGCACTGCGCCGGCCAGTATTCACGAGCATGATCACAAATCAAATCAGAGCTCCTCCCGCCTGCCGAAAGACATCCACGAAGCGTCTTTGATCAGCATGCCCGACCTTTCCAAGTCTTTGGGCGAAATCTCACTTTCTGTGACACCAGTCACCAAGGTGGGCCCTCCGACAAGTTCGTCACTTTGAATTCCCTGTCACCGAAAGTTGGTCACTGCCACTTCCGAGCTCCAGAAAACAGCCGAACACTGCGCTGAAAAGGACATCCATTCATCCAAATGCTGACAGTCTAATGAATTGCCCTCGAAATAAACTGAAACCTCACCATACTCGGAAGCTTTGAGGGCAGGTCCTTTAACATGCAACCACAAGAAGGGGCAACCAGAGTTCGGATTCCAAGGCACCCGCTTGGCACCCCGGCTCCCTCTGCCTTTGCCACTGTCATGGCAGATGCCACCGCGCAAAAGGCTGGATGCTCCTGACCATGTCAGGGGAGCCAATGGAAGCTGTGTTCATACAGCTAGGGGTTTTCAAAGCTAGACTAACTGAGTGGGGTCACCATTTTGACTGATTTCTGGGGGTTGTCAAAGCTAGACAATTATCGCGTAGGACCTGACTTTGACAATAGTAAAAATCAAAAGAATGGGGGCCAATACAAAGAGAGCTCCGAAAATCTGGCAGTCGCAGTTTGAGCCAGACCAACAGATGGATTTTGTGGCAGCAACCATATAGAAAAGATCTTGTTCGCATGGCGTGGCCAAAGGTGTGCCTGTCGGATGTCTGGTGTGTGTGTGTGTGAGTGTGTGCGCCCTGGCATGCTTTCTCTGTGCATATCTGTGCATATCTGTGCCTCTGTGTCTCTCTCTTTGCATCTCCCTTTGTGTGTGTGTGTGTGTCTCTTCGCGAATCTGTATGTGTATTCTTAAAGAATATATATATATATGTGTGTGGCCATTTGCTGGTTTCAGCCTCCCCCTCCGCATTCACGCGGAATTGAAACAGCAAGAGCGACTCTTCATTAACTCAGGTCAAGATCACATGATTCAAAATCCAACTGCGAAACAAAATGTGACTCTGTTGAATTCCCGCGCAGCACTGCTTCTGCGCAAGCATTCGACACAACTCTGTGTCACTCTTCGAGCTCGGAAAATTGTGAAAATGCCTGCCAAACTAGTGACAATGTCGTATAGTCGTAGAACGTGTCAAGTGGAACTCAAGACCAACCGCTTGGAAGATACTCTAGTGTTGACACCTAGCCATTTGTTCAAGGCCGCTTCAATCACACAACGTCACCAGCAGTTGCGGAGAGCTCCTGTCTCAGCAATGCCTGAACCAATGCTTGGTTGACAAGCCTCAGGTGCAGTTCATCTGTTCATCTGCATGCAAATCAAACGGGCAGGCGAGATCGCTGGTTACAAACAAATGCTTGTGTATGGGTGTGTCACACTAAACCTTTGATAGCACATCTGAGCTCAAAGCCCCTGAGCTGTCAAGTGCTTGCCCCGCTGCGACTCGACTGCATGCAACCTCAGCCACCAGCGAGCCATGCATTTCATGCAGGAGAAGCCTGAGAGCACAACTCCTCTGGCAACGGCTACAGACGGAAAAAATGAATTGAGAAAGGCACAGCAGCTACAGCCAGCACGAGCCCCACTTGGGCTCATTCCGAAATGAGTGTGTGTGTGTGTGTGTGTGTGTGTGTGTGTGT